ACCAGCATTCTGAATGGCCATGCAGGGGCCTCTTGCTGACCTTTCTAAGGAGTGACAGTGGGGTTGAATGAGGCCAGACCGTGAGCGCCACGGCTGCTCATTTTCCCAGCCTCATCTTCCAGGCTGGGAAGAAAGACCTTTTCTGGGCCTCTGCCACATGGTACTCTGTCACGTAGCTGGGATCCAGAGGGCACTCATTCTCAGGCAGGGGCTGCACAATTGGGGAGGTGCTCGCGTTTTCTGCTCCTGGGTCCTGACACTCGTTTGCTGTGTGGTCCCAGTCATGCTATCAAGAGCTTTACTGCCTTCACGAGACTCCCCATGAACTGTACTCCCGGGGGACTGGGAGGATGCCTTCTGATTCTGAGGGCTCGGTGTTAAGCCCCGCAGGGTCTGCTGTGAGAAAGCTGGAGGCGAACAATGCTACTTCCTTCTTGGCCAGTTAGTCTAAGAAGGGGCCAGGAGCTGCTTAGAGGAAGGGGCGGTTAGAGACACCAAGCACATGGAACTGGGGCACTGAGGGTAAACCACCTCAGCTTTTCCAGGATGGAAGCAAAGGGGCTGAGCTCACATTTCATTCTGCAGAGCTCCACGAGTGAGATTCCTGGTGTGGGAATGCTGACAGCACCCCCGAGGGAATGAGAACTCTCCCAGGAAAATGCCTTGGTACCTGTGCCTGCGTCTCCATAGATCCCTAGACCCTTTATACCAGGGAGGGCAAGGAGGAAGACAAGCACACCCAAAGACAAATTTAATTCTTGTAAAGATTTATTTTTTAAAATTACAATCTAAACTCCCTGCACTGGAGCCACAGAATCAACTACTGTCACCAGGAAGGGTTAATAGGACCAGAGCTGCCTTTTATCTGTCTGCCCTAACAGGGAGCTAGAGGAAATGCGTGTGTGTGTGTGTGTGTGTGTGTGTGTGTGTTGAAGTGGGGGTGGGATGGAGTGGGGTGGAGGAGGACCCTCGGTTCATTTAAACTTTCAGAGTGTGGATTTACTCCAAGGGGGGTTGTTGAAGTGGAAAGAAGCCAAGTCAAGTTTGGCCCCTTGCCTGGAATCACTTGAATTCTGAAACTTTACTGCGACGGACATGTGCGTGGTCACATTTTCCATTGCTTTTTTCTACAGTGGGGGGTAAGTCTCTCTGCGGCGAGCCCCACATCATGGACAAGCCCCTTTATTGGTCTTTTGAGTTGTATAGAAATGTCTTCTGTATTTAACAGTTTGTAATATCCACAGTGTTTTTTTTTCCTCTAAATTTTATTTAAATAAACAAACACATTTCCCCTCCCTCCAGGAAGTCACGAATTCTTTCTTTGCTTCTTCTAGACAAGCCATGGTTTCTAAGGAGCGCAGACCCATTTCTCTGAGCTTGTCTCTGGGTTTGGTTCGTTGTGCAAGCCAGACGCTCTCTAAGGCATATCTTGTTTCTGCCTTCAGCCTGGGCAGAGGAAGGCCCGGCTGGCCGGTCCTCTGAGAGGCTTTGCAATGAATGGAAAACAGACGGCAGACAGTCTTTCATCAACGTCTCTGTTTTTAATTGGGTGGCCCGGTGCCTTTGGACTTGAACCTGCAGTGACCTGGCGACTGCCTGGAAGATGTGGCTCTCAATTTGGCGGCAAGAAAAGGCTTAATTTGCATGTTGGCCAGGCAGCTATTACCCATACACGTGGCCCCAGCTGCACAGGGCAGAGAGCTGCTGGATTCATATCAACATATATCCCTGGACCAATGAACGCTGGCGTTGGCCCACCCTCTTCTCCTAGACTCTGCCCATCCGAGTCTGATTCTTAGGTCCCTCCTACTCAGCCTTCCTTCCCTCTAGCCCAAAAGCTGAGGGATGGACAACCTATTGTGACCTTTTCTTTGTGGTTTAGTTACCTAACTAGAGGCGAAATCTCCAAACCCGTGACCCATTTTGAATCAAGCAGATGGTAGACATGTCCTCACCGTTCATATTCTGTTTGAGTTTGACTTTCTGGTTCATGTGACTGTTCCCACAGGCCCATAAGCATGGTCTCCCTGAAAGAGGCCCTCGTGCATGGACCTTGAATCTCTCCCAAACAATATCCAGGGCCTGACCTGCCCCTTGATACCTGGACATCACGATCCAAGGAGGTGACTGTAAAACACGAGAGCAATTTCCAAATGTCTCCTAGCTCCATGACATTCTTGGGAAGGAAATGGTTAAGGAAAAGATTTTTACCATGGGCGGAAGAAGAGGGAATTCTAAACTCAAATGGTCCTAAAAATATGCAGAGTACACAGTGTCGTTTTTAATGGGATATTTGTTTTCTTTAAATAAAAGAGAGAGAGAGAGAAATAAAAGACGCTCTAAGCAGAACTTAAGGCCCAAGGGGTTTGGTCTGTGTGGCGTTACTCAAGCATGCGAAAAAGGGGACAGTGGATTTGGCCTCGTGCACCCCATTGATATTAGAAACATATTTGAAAACACTTAAATGTTAGGGGTGAGGTAAATGGGCCGCCACGCTGGCTCCTGCTGTTCTAACTGGGATGCTGCGGAGTAAAAGATGTCTGCGGCAGAAAGAACTGGAAAGGCTGCAGCTGGGCCTTGGAAGGAGCGCTCCTGGAGGGGCTGTGCTGATTGGCGAGCCGAGCCCGCGGTGCACTTTGGGGCTGCGAGTGGAGGTTTTTGTCGTCAGGCACACACTTCTAGAACCCAGCTGTGGAAAAGTCATCTATCATCCTGTAGAGTGCTGCCTGACCTTAGATGCTGAACATGAAGCTTAAGACATCATTTATGCTGCAGGTTTTCTCAGAGCTTAGTTTCGGTCAGCATCCTTACTGTCAAGACTGGGCAGCAAGCAGGAGAAATTCCCAGGGGGAAAGTCCGGGGTCATGGGATTGGAGGTCAGGTCTGGGGTTGGAGGGAGCCATGCCAGCTGGTTTCCCCGGTGGGTGGTTGGAGCAGGAGCAGCAAATCGTTGGGCGTCTTGGCTCCCCTGAAGTTAGTCCTGGTTTCTAGAAGAGTTCTGCCATTATGTAGCACCATGGCTTGGGAGAAGCGATCGAACCTCTCTGACCTGCAGTTTGTCTCTTTCAACATGTGACCACGATGCTGGGCTTCCTCTCTGGGAAGTGCCTGATGAATAGCCCAGGGAGATACCGTGAAAAATACTGAGTGGCACATGAAACTGCAGGAGAAGCAACTTAGGGTTCTGCTTCTTACAGTGGGTCTTGGCACGCAGCTCAAACAGTGGCACAGGTTTCCCTAGGAGATGGACAAGTTCAGGAAGAGGACACGATTGGTCAGAGGAGCACAATCGCAGGAGAGAAAAACCCTCCATCCAAGTTGGTCTCCCCCTATTTCTGAATGCTTCCTCCCACACAGGAAGGAACAGTGTGGAATGGGAGCTGTTATCACAGAGAAAGCACGCCAAGGTCCCAGGCTGGAAGGAGCCTGTGGGTCCCAGGGCAGTGGGCAACTTTATGGAGTTGGGGTTGGGGCTTTGGCTCAAGCAATTTCTCTGAGCCACTGTACCCCATTCTCAGGGTCAGGGGTAGGGGGCACAGGAATATAATTGTTCTACTCTTCTCTGCTCACCTCCCCTGCATGACTCAAGACAGACCAAGTTTCTGTCTGTCCACCTCTAGGGAATGACTTCTTGCGTTGCCTTATGAGCATCGTGCTCAGATAATTCTTGGCATCCACATCAGTACCACTTTCTGCTTCATTGTGGCTGTTAGGCACCATCAAGTTGCTTCTGATTCAAGACAGTCTCATGACACAGAGAGAAACTGACTCAAAGGGTTTTCTTGCCTGTCACCTTCATGAAAACAGATTACCAGCCCTTTCCTCCTCAGAGCTGCCACATGGCATCCAACGGCCAACCATTAGTTCTAACCTCATGCTCAAATATAGTCAATGCTATTTCCCCACTCCTCCTTCTTCCCTTCCCTTCTCATTCCCATTGTGCAAAAAGGAACAGAAATCGCCGTATTTCTTGCTAGGTGTCATTGAATCGGTTCTGACTCATAGCAACCCTGTGCACAGCAGAACAAGACACTGCCCTCTCCCGAGCCCTCCTCACAAGGAGAGCCATACCCACTGCCAGCAAGTTGATTTTGACTCATACAGACCTAACAGGACAGAGGGAAACTGCCCCTGTAGGTTTCTGAGACTGTAACTATTTCTATGGGATTCCAAGAATTCTACATAGTGCTCTTGAGGAAACGTATGTAGATTAAGATGGAGTTGTATGAACAGAATAAGAATATTAGAGTCAGGAAAGAGTCAGGTTTGGAGTCGGGAAAGGTGTGTTTCTGGATTGCACCTCTCACCATACTTACTCAATCGGTATGCTGAGACAATGATCCGAGAAGCTGGCTTACATGAAGAAGAAAGTGGCATCAGGATGGGAGGTAGGCTTATTAACAACCTGTGCCATGTAGATGACATAGCCTTGTTTGCTGAAACTAAGGAAGACTTGAAACACACTTGCTGATGAAGATCAAGGATTGCAGCCTTCAGGATGGCTTACATGCAACACAAAGAAAACAAACATTCTCACAACTGGACCAATAGGTAACATGATAAACAGAGAAAAGATTAAAGTGGTCAAGGATTTCATCTTGCTTGGATCCACAATCATTGCTCATGAAAGCAGTAGACAAGAGATCAGAAGACGTGTTGCACTGGATAAATGTGCTGCACAAGACCTCTTTAAAGTGCTGAAAAGCAAGACATTTACTCTGAGGACTAAGGTGTGCCTGGCTCAGGACTTGGTATTTTCAATTGCCTCATATGCCTGTGAAAGTTGGATATTGGGTGGGGAGGGGGAATCATATCCTCATCAATGAGGGTGGCGC